GGTAACAGAAACCAGAGGTAACTGCTTCTGAGGTGTATCAGGGTAAACCAACTGGAGAAGGGCATTCTGAACTTTCTGGGGTGTTGGAAAAGTTCTACATCTTTTCTTGGGTTGTGATTGCAGGGAAGTACAACTGCAAAAACTCACTGAACTAAGATCTTTAGTTTCAATTCTATGCATCAGCCTTAAGCAATCAGAAAATAAAACCCTAGAACTGGTATCTTTACAGTGCATTTAGTAACTTCAAGTAAAAGACAGGCAACTCCTCTACACAGGATCTAAAGGCATTTTTTAAATTTGTGAGCAAATGTTAAAAGATCTAAATAAATAAAGGTATAAAGATAATCTTGAATAAGACCAAAGAACTTACATTCCTAGACATTAAGACTCATTGTACAACTGCAGTAAAAAGGACATTGAGGGTCTGGTGCCATGTAAGACAAATTAACCAACAGAATGGAACAGTGTCCAGAGACAAACGCACAGACACTCAATTCACGATAAGGTGACATTTTACAACAATGGGATAACAATGGTCTTTTCTTCAGCTTTAATTTTTGCTTACTACATGTTTGCAGCACACAGTGACCACATTCCTGCAGGCCATCGAGAACGTGTACATAACACATCGCAGTTCTTCTTACCCGCCTCCCTTCCTCGCCTCCCTCCCCGCTCCCTCCACATCTTGGTCTCCTATCTCCTGATTTTCTAGCATCTATTTTTATTTTGCTCTTCGTTTCCATTTTGAGTTTCTCATTTAAGAGAAACCACGTGGTATTTAAGCTTGTGTGTCTGATTTATTTCACTTAACATTACGGTCCTAAAGCACAGGTAAGGACTCTCTGAACAGAAGTCCAGCTGTACAAGAATCAGCACAGGGAATCATAGCAAGTTGAAATGCTTCTGCTCAGCGAAAGAAACACCAACAGAGTGAAGAGACAACCCACAGAACGGGTAAAATATTTTGCCAGCTATACCTCAGACAGAGGAATAATATCCAGAATACATAAAGAACTCAAAAAAATTAGACCCCCCCCCAAATAAAAGACCCAATCAAAAGTGGGCAACTGAAGTGAACACAGTTCCCCAAAGAAGTACAAATGACCAACAAATACATGAAAAATGTTAAACATCTCTGGCCAATACAAAAATGAAAATCAAAGTAATACTGAGATTCCATCTTAATTCCAGAAAGCATGGCTATCATCAAGAAATAGAAATAATAGTTAGAAACACCGGCAAGGCTGCAAGGGTAAAGGGACCCTTCTATACTGCTGGTGGAAATGTAAGCTAGTACAACCATTATGGAAATTCTTCCAAAAACTAAAAGTAGAAATCTCACTGGATCCAGCTATTCCCTGTCTTCCCAAAGCATTAAAGAGCGGTCTACTTAATAAATTGTTCTGGATCAAATGGATAACCACGTGGAGAAAGAAAAAAACAGGGTTCCTATCTTATAACAGAGTTTTTTAAACCAATTCTTGATGAATTGTTGGACTAAAAACTTTCAGACAACAACATAATATACTCTGGAGTTCACAAAATCTGAGGGTTTGTTTTGTTCTGTCTTTTGAGATAGTTTTGCTATGTTACCCAGGCTGGTCTTGAATTCCTAGGTTCAAGTGATACTCCAGCCTCACTCTCCCAAGAAGCTAGGATTACAGGCATGTATAAGGTATCTTAAGTAGTACATGGGAAGCATTACCTATAAGGAAAGGATTAGTGAAACTGGACTGCACTGAAATTTTAAAATCCTGTTCATCAAAGAGTAGGAGAATATATTTGCGTTACATAGAATGTATACTCTACATTTACTCAGAATGTTTAGAGCCCTACACATCAACAAGAGAAAGACAACTGCATGCAAAAATACATAACATGAGTAAAATACTTCATGAAAGAAGATATACAAAGATCCAGTAAATACATGACAAGATATTCAACTCTCATTAGGTAAAAGCAAATTAAAACTGCAATGCAAATCATTACTACAAGCACTAGCTTCTCTCTGGCCATTAAGACATGAAGTATGTTTCCACACCAGGCCCTTCATGTGAGCCCTACGTGGGACAGTTCAGGTCTTGAACGAGCTTGCTCCTTCCTGGCTTCTAGGTCTCCATACTCGCAGAGAAGTCCTCCTTCACCCTTCAGTCTAAACACTCTCCTGACCCCTGCCATCCCCTCACTGCTCCTATCACTGCGGGGCACTTGCCATCAGAAATCACACTGTACACAGGGGTGGACATCTGTTTGTTACTATGCGCTCCTTCCACTAGGAAGGTAAGCGCTCTACCGCAGCCACTAATGCATCCCCATGACCAAGATCCCTGCCTGACATGCTGTGTGCTCCACGAATACTCGGGATGATGAATGGGTGTTCCCAACTGTTACGGGTGATACACTGTGTCAACCTGAGGGGTCTAGAAGCTTAACTGAGTGACTCAGCAGTTCTACATCCCAGGGTGTAGAGGACATGCCCTTACCCTCTAGGACGCTGTTCACTGTGTCAGCCTGAGAGGTTTAGAAGTTTAACTAAGCAACTCAGCAGGGAGCCAGGGCCCTTACTTTGTAAACACCCTGAGCCTGCGCAAGAGGACATGGAGGTGGTGTGGGCAGGTAGCCAGCATACAAGAGAGGAAAAGAGGCTTGCTGCTCTCCCCCATGTGCTCTTGCTGCTTTTGCTGTCTTCTGCCACCCTGAACTGTTGCCCCTGTGCCATGCCACCCTGCCTGGCGCCAGATGATTATGGACTGAAATCTCCACAAACTGTAAGCTAAATAAACCTTTCCTCCCTTAATTTTGAGTGTCGGGTATTTTGTCTCAGCAACAAGAGAAAAGTAACCAAGACATGAATGCCCTGAACAGTGTCTTCTCCCATGGGGGAATGGCAACAAACAGACTTGGAAAGGAAACAAGAAAGAGGAAGAAAGGATAAGACCCTAAAACGTCAAGCAAAATACACCCCAGTCGAGTATCCTGAAGAAGACAATCTAATAATAAAGGCTAAGAAAGCCATGAGCAACACAGGCACTTTTCTATGCAGGATTTTTTTTTCTTTCTTTCTTTTTTTTTTTTTTTAAAATGGTGCTGGCGATCAAACCCAGGGCCTTGACACGCTAGGCAAATGGGTCAGCCACTGAGCTATAAGTAACACTATAAAATATAACAGGCACAGTTCCTAACACAAGAAGAAAGCTACCTTCAGGAAGATTCTAATCTAAGAACAACCAGGGCTTACTGTGGAGTTACACAAGCAGGTCATTCTTGAACCTCTGTTTTCACAGACAGATACCTGGAGAACTAGAGCACGGCTCACAGCTAAGGAAATTTCCTGTTTCACAGCTTATGTACCTATAAATGTAAAGCCCTTTCCTTCAGTCCAGAGTGCCTGTGCCCCGACTTCTTCCGATATTATTTTGAGACCAGGTTGAGAAAACAGGCACGGCATGCAGGTCGAAAGGCGTGCACAGGCTGAAGTGAACGGGTGTATCTCACACGAGATCAACCGTCCCAGCCAGCGGGCTCTCAGCTGTTCACCTGTGAGCTGCAGTGAGCAGGTGCCCGGTGCCGGGTGAGGATCAGAAACACCTACCGAATGAACACGCTTCCAACCATTCATTTTAAGATGAATTAAATGGCTTGAGAACTAGGAAGTATTCTGTTTTCTTAATCCCAAAGCCATCTGTCTAATTTTAGTAAGCAATTAGTGTAATACACACCTGGCTGGTACATGTGTCTCCATAGTTGGTACATATGTCTCCATGTGTCTCTTACACAACATGCGTAAGAGAGAAATAAAGTTCTATTGGCCGAGAACCTGATCAAGGATGAAGCTCTAATAACAGAATTACTCTATTTCTACCCTCCAGGTAAGAAAAAAAACCTATACATTTCTCTCTCCTTAATGATCCTGCCCTTGCATATTTCTTCTCGAAAAATCATTACACTCCTGCCTTACTCTTTTAAGCTAAGATGAAGCACTCGATCTTCAGCACTTCTTTTCTTACTCAGGATTCCCTCTCAGATTGGCAACTAAAGTAATTCCTCAGCAGGCTCAAATCTTCTCAATCTTTTCAGATGCTAGTCTGGCTTTCTGTGAAATTCCTCATCAGTTGTTTCTTACTAATCTAAAATTACCTAAATTGGAAAAGAATAATTACATAGAAAAAGAATGCTATTCAATATAGAGCCACCCCAACATAAAAAGAAGAAAAAGTTGAAGTCTCAGTGTAACACTACTGATACCATGTGAGAGCTGGACCTAGATCAACTAGGGCTACTTTCATCTTTTTGTTTTATTAATGCATAAACTGATGGTAAGCTCTAATACCCTCAGAAACTAGCGGGTCCGGAAGGGCTGTGCCCTTGTCAGTTACATCTTTCCACCGAGGGGGCTGGGGTTGGACAGCAAGTTCATGGGTGAATATGTGAGTGAATGAATAAATGAACAGATGAACTTGTAAGAATTCTTCTAAACTATGGCCATTAAGGTAGTTAGGGGCAGGGCCAGGGCTACAACCCGGTCCTCCTCTTCTTCCTCCCTTGCTAACCTTCAGGTGTCTTCAGAAGTCACAGCCTCCCGAGCAGCTCGGTAGTTATCAGCAGAGCCGTCATCTTCCTAAAATCACTGACTGACCTTAGTTGTGTTTTTAAAAATCTCATTCTGCTTTTAGACACGCAAACAAAAGGAGAGAATGAGCAGTGCCAAGTGGGATGACATAAGAAAATTACACTGCAGCCAGATCACACAGAGAAATGACAGAAAAAGGGTAGGCAGAGATGGCTCTGTGATTTTCTTCTCACTCTCACCTATCTAAGAGATATAAAAGGTACAAAGTTAGAACGCATTAGCTGTCAGATCAACAATATTCTATCAGAGGCACAGACTTCTCTAACACTGCAGCTACTTTATAACTGAGGCTTGACACAGTCCAGGGGACGAAGCGGAGGAGAAGGGCTCCGAGCAGGGCGTCCCGGGACGACGGGGACCGTGTACTCACTCTTCGAGGAAGTGCTGCTGGGGGCCGATGATGGAGCCTGGCCGGCAAATCCTGATCCACGCGATGATTTCGGCGTGTGTAAACCTGTAGTGCTTCATCACGTAACAGGCTATCAGCGTTCCTGTTCTCCCAAGACCAGCTGCAAGACAGGGAACACAGAATTCAGCCAGTGCACCCCGCAAAGCACCGAGAGGACGCCGCGGCCCCAAACCGCATCACCTTCCAGGGCACTGAACCTACGTGTGCCTGTGTGCCATCGGTGGGAAGGGTACAAGGAAGCCACCACACGTTCAGGGGCCTAAAGGGAGGCGATGAAAACAGAGCTGGCAGGAGCAGACCGGCTGAGACAGGAAGGACGAGGCGGAAGGACACGGACACCAGGGCAGGAGAGCAGAGGGGGCAGGGAGGACAGGCACGGGCAGTGACGGCGAGCTGAACTGGAGAGGCGCCTGCTGGGGCACCAGGAAAGTCGAAAGAGACTGAAGGTTCTGACCCAGGAAAGTGATGCAACCTTGATTCCATCCTTGAGAACATTCAGTTAGGAAAGGAAACAGGGAAGAGTTAATGGCTTTATTTTTGGTGTGTTTAATAAACTTGTGTCTTCGAGGGGCCCTTCTGACAGCTTGCCCTGGGTCAAACACGAAGAGAGGCTCTTCTCTGGTCTCCCGGTATTTTGAAGTCCACAGTATTTTAGCAAACCTGAGACACCACCCTAGTGACTTGTGGTGTAAGGTACAGCATTACTCCAGTTCATGGAAGTAAAACAAAACGTAATAGTAACGACACGCTATTCGTTTTTTAAACCCATCCTAATTTCAGAAATGTTATAAGCACTTTTTCTGAGCCTATGCTTGCCACATAAGCATCACATTCGTCCCAGGGCATGTGCACCTGTGCATAACGTCTTACTTCTTCGTGCTCCTATTCGCCCGCCTTCTCTCCCACCCCTCCCCTCCCCACCTACAAAAACTGTCTCCATTCTTCCCTTCCCTTCTCCCTTCTTCCTGGTGCCCAGTATCGAGCCTCTGATTAGCTCCTCATTTACCCTTTGGGTCTCAGAAGTGTTACCGTGTGGGAAAGGCACGCTCTTCCGCCAACATGCACAGCCTTCTGTACATTACTGCTCCTCCAGGCGCCTCTCTAGGTGTCTCATCCTAATCACCCCCATAGATTCACTGTCACAGTACACTGCGTACCTGTGTATGCACTATAGGTCAATCTGTGCTTTACACGGAAAAAGGTTTTCACCAAAGAGAAAGAATTCTGCCCCATTGAGAGCACTGCTATTTGAGTTAGGAATGCATATCAAACATGAAAATGGAAAGACAGTCAAGCTCATGACTCTAGGCACATGGCATCCCCTTCCCATTACTCTTTTAAAAAATGAACACACACACGCACACTATTCTATTACAGGAGGGGCATGTGTGCGTACCGTTTTCATCTGAAGTACCTTTTTCCCCCAGATCAAATATAGCATTCTTTGGAAAGAAGAAAGTTTAATTAAGGTCTCAGTGGGGCTTTCCCTTTCGTATTAAGAGGTAAGAGCAATCTTTCTGTTCCGCTCAGAGCCTGCAGTTGCTAACTCCCCAGTACCTGACAAGGCTACGGGTAATCTTGTAGCTAAACACGGAGGAGCGCCCTGGAGTGGGAGCCAGGGCCCAGCCGGTTTCCAGGGTCTCCGAGCTGCGTCTGGAGAGCAGGTGGCCTTCCTGGGGAGAGGGGCCCCCTCGCACGGCTCCCTTCCTGGCGTGAGGAGCTCCTGGTGCCCTGGGCTAGGTTCTCGGCCCTCCTCACAACCAGAGAGGTGGTGCAGAGAATTTTCAAATTTTTCTGAAATTGAGTTGCTTCCCCCTTTTAAAAGAGTCTATAATTTAGATCTATAAAAAGAACTTACTTAGCGCTCAACAGTTAGGAGCTCTTCCCACAAGTGAACAGAATAGGAACACTTCACTAAGTTTCCATAAAAACTCAAAAAAAAATGTTAAAGCATCCATAATTAAAGGGCTCCCTGGCACAGCCTGACAAGAGGCTGGAAGTGCTCTATTTCTACCAGCTCCAATTCCAACTGCTTTAGAATTCCAGCCATTTTCTGAAATCTCTACTGCATGCCGGAAGATCACAATGTCGCTATACCTTAGATTTTTATTTGTGCTAGAAAGGTTCAAGATTCACAGCCATTCTTTTCACCAGCCACAAAGTGGATGGCAGACACTGTAAGGTTTCACACATCCCCAGAAAATTAAATTTAAAGGTCTAGTTTGCCTCTGTCTGTAATACTTTATACGCTGAGACACGACACCTTCATTCTCTTTCCTACAGCTACCAAAATTCATCCTGCACAAGGTAAGATTCACTCTCCCTCGTCCTTCTGGTTCAGTTAAAATACTGAGCGCAGCTTGGATTCCCAGAAAATTAAACTGACTTAATTAGGGCAGATGTCAAAATAATAACAGGCCTCTAGGAGATAAGTGTGCTATTAACAGCAATACAGCTGTAATTAAGCCAGAGGTGTAGCCCTCGTAAGAGAATTCTACATGTTTGTACAGGGGCAGCAACGAAGCAGCACTCTCAAAACGATGGGCCACATATACACGTGACCTGCCTGTATAAGAATTCACCTGCATGCTAAAAGATCTGATGCTAGACTGTAAAGCCTCTTCAATATTATACAATATATGCATATATATTTATTAAAAGATAAGCACTCAAGGGTCAAGCAAGGATATTAACGAAAATGCGTAACACCAGAGTCTTATCTCCACAAGTTTCTCTCAGGAGGAACAGTACCCAGCAAGGTGCTGAGTTTGAATGAAAGCTGTGCGTTTCCTCTCCCTGGAATTTGTCAATCCAAGACGTGGCCCGTGGACCCACAAATAAACTACACAACCTGGCAGTCATAAAACTAACTGAACAAGAAGGACAAACTAATCCCGGGAAAAGCCACAGCTGCAAAGCGAAGCTGCGGGTGAGCTCCTACATGACCGCTGCTGCTCTACGCCCTGCATTTCTGCTGCTATTTGAAAGCCGGGAACCACAGGCGTGGTCGTGGACCTGGCCACCTAACAAAATGGTGGGGGAAAGCGCACGCAGGGTGCGAGTGAAACACACCCTGGGCCGGTGAACTCGCTGACACCTTGCTGTACCCGAGCAGTGCCTTCCACGACAGGGCAAGGAACCCCTTCCGAGCCATCCTCCAACCCGGGCGCCCAGAGAGCGGGCGCGGCCCTGCGGGGGGCGGGCAGAGCTGGCCAGGGCAGCAGAGGGCCTCGGGCGCCCTCCAGGCTGCCAGGGCTCCGGAGCACGAGGCTCCTCTTTGCCTTGCTGCGCACATGTTCGACAAAGCACCTCCACCTACTCAGATCTTAAACATAGAAACGAGGGCCTACAAAATGGTATTTTAATCTGTCAGAACCACAGCCGCGCTCGCCTGAACAAGGCAGTTACAGCAGCGCTGGCACAGGGAGAGAACAGCACCCTCCCCAACACCTACTGGCAATTAGCACAAAGCGCAGAAAAGCGTCCACGAGCACCAACCCGGGAGAACAGCACCGCCGCGCGGCTGCGTGCAGAGCCGCACCCCGGGGCAGAGCCCGCCGGCACGCGATCCTCCCACCGGGCTGGAGGCGCAACCCGCACTGCGGGCTCCGCAGAACCCACCGTCTAAGGCTGGCGAACGCCGCTCAGGTTTCTGGGCCGCTGACCCAGGAAGACGACAGGACAGGCGGTCCAGGCAGTACCTGAGACACACGTCCTTTAAAGGGTGGTCGCCCGGACAGCAGGGCTTCGCTCACAGGCCAGCCTTTCAGGCCACTCTAAGAGGCGGCCCCTGCCCTGGGCAATGCGCTGGCAGGGGACCCCGAGCAACGGGCAGGGAGACCTGGCTCCACCATGCAAACAGCAGGGGAGGGCGGCGCAGAGGGTGCAGAGGGGCCCAGGTGGCTGCGTCACAGAGGGGACGGACAGACAGCGCTGGGGCAGCGGGGAACGGACAGGAGGTGAGCGGGGCTCAGAAGAGGAGAAGGGGCCGGCAGCATGTCTCTCTGGACAACTCTCCCCACACGCCTGCACTCTGCTAAGAACACCTGCGGCTGTCTCCCCTCATCGCGGAGCCGGCGTCCGCAAGCCGGGCTCTGGACAGGTCAGCGTCAGACACGCTGCCTTTGGGGGAGAGCCCCAGCCCCGCCGGCGGCCACACCCACACAGCCCGTGCTTGGGGAGCGGGTGAACAAGGGTTTGGGTTTCAGCTGGTGAAACGAGAGCCTTTCTAAGATGCTGCCTCTGCTTTCCGTCACCGCAGACCGGCTCGGCCCTGCCGTGAGCGGGGCTCCCCGGCCCCCACGCACCTTTGCAGTGGACCGCAACGGCGCCCTCGGTGTGCTCACAGATGTTCAGGAACCTGCGCACGATGTTGTCGCTGGGCGTGCTGCCGTCGATGAAGAAGAGGTCGTAGTGCTCGAAGCCCGCGTCCGTGAAGCGCTTCGCCTCGTAGATCTTTTTGTTCAGTCTCACAATCGCAGTCACGTTGTGCTTCTTGAAGTAAGGGAAGTAGGCCTCCGGGGCGTGAAGCGGGTAACCTGCAAGTGTGAGGTGCACGTGTCAGCTTGCACGACCCAGAACCCCACAGCCCTAACAGCAAGCTGCACCGCAGCGCGTTCAGGGCGCGTCCTCAGGCCGAGGCCGGCCACAGCGAGCTTGGCAGAGCGCCGGGCTGCGTGACTGGGGCACCGGAGGAGGGAGGAGCACTTCTGAGGAAGCACATTCCTCCTACCGCAAAACCGAGGCATTCCTGGAAGGACTGATGCTCACAGCAGACCTGAAACGATTCTTGAGTTTTTATTCACTTTGCGTGTTCCTCTTCACTTAACAAATACGTTTCAGCTAAGGTTAGTTTTTCCAGATGAATAGTTTTAATATATAGTTGTCTAACCCCCAGCAAAATAGGTTTCAGGATTAGTAAGCAACTACAATGTACAAACCACATTGTACACAATTCCTCTTTTAATTCTAAAAAAAAAACACTTATTAAGAATAGTTAACCCCATGTAACAGATTAAGAAACTAAAACTTAAGGGGATCTTGGTCAAAGGATACAAAAATTCAGTTAAACAAGGGGGACAGGCCAAAGAGATCCAGTGTACAACACTGCGGCAGTAGTTACTAACAACGTGCTACATACGTGAAAGTTACAGAGAAGACCTTAAGGGTTTTAAGTATGCTCACTGCAAAAAATGACAATGTGCGAAGCGATACACATGTTAAACCTGACAGCCCCATCAACAACGTACATACTTTAAAACACCTTGCTGCACCATAAACATATGTACTTTGTCGGTTCAAACTATAATTAAATTTTTTAAAAACTAGAACAATCACTTTTAAATACATTTTTACTAACACCCATTAGTTTTACAAAACACTGGATTTCAAGGTGGTGCTTTCAAATCTGCATGTAACATACTCATCTACCTTCCATTAGCCCTTCTTCGTATCACCCGCTTCCTTTTTTTTTCTACTCCTGTACTCTAATAACTGCCTCCCTCAAACAGGACCTCCCCGATGGACGCTTTCTCTCCGGGAGGGAGGTGCTGGGACGCCAAGCCTCCTGGGTGCCTGCACCAGGAGACCCGGACTCAGACGCGCCTCACACTGGCTTTGGCCAGGGAGCCCGGGGCACCAGCGGGCCACTGCGGACCGTTCCCAGCAGCCCCCAGGGACAAGGGCACTGATTTCTCGGCAGCCGACTCCACGCCTGTAACTGACGCGGGCCCCGGAGCCTGGCACCCGGCTCGGCGAGGCGACCTCGTGAGGGATCTGTCTGGGACGTGGCGGCAGCGCTGGCGGCCTGAGAGGTGACCGGAAGTCCGGACACTGTGTCCTTGGCCACGCTGCTCCCGCCGGGGACGCTGCTCTGTGCTGGTCATTCCTTACTTTCTCTCGGCTCCAGCCAACCCACCCTGCTCCCTGAGGCGCGGCGCTGGGGCCCACACCCTGCTCTTCCCGGAGCGCCTTCCTTCCTAGCCGCTCCCCGTCCCTGTGAAGCCGGAAGGCGCCCAGGGCGGCCGTGCAGACCCTCCTGCTGGGTCAGCACCCCACGGCAGCAGGCGGCGGCAGCCAACGCCCCAGCCGAGTGGGCGCCGGCCGCGCACGCCTCAGGCCCGGAGCCCACGCCCCCCCAGCCCCAGGAGCGCCCCGAAGGGCTCCGCACAGGCTCCGCGCTGCTCACACCCTCTGCCCCTCCGTCCGCTGGCACGGAGGCCTGCCCGTCCCCCCATAAACCCTGGATTCTTCGGCGCCACCTCTTGCAGGTCCTGGCCTTCGGAGCAAGCTCCCGCGGGAAGCTCCCTGGCTGGGTAACCGGTGTGGTTCCCAGTTTGCCAGGCTCGGCTCGGAGGCTGTGGTCACCCAGCACGTCCCATGAATTCCTTCAGTTTATCGGAGTTGGTTCAAGCACCTGCAAGCAAGAGCCCTGGCTGGTGGGCTCGGCTAAGGTCACACAAAAAACGGGGGCCGACCGGGAGGCAGGCCTGAATGACCCCAGCGCAGACACTTGGTCTTCACGGGCCGTGCTTTCTGTGAGCAAGCTGGGAACACGGAACTTACTGGACATCTGGTGGAAACGTACACACGCATGGAGAGAAAACACACGCTCTTCACTTGCAAAAATCAAGTCCGGGGCCGGAGATGTAGCTCAGCCGCACAGCGCCTGCCTGGCAAGCGTGAGGTCATGCGTTTGATTCCCCGTACCACAAAAAGAAAAGGTCAAGTCTGTTTTCTTTGTTTTATTTGCTCAAATTATTTCCAGGCAACAGATTTACAGCCTAAAGGTAGAAATGAACCCTGGCCTGGACTCCGCCGTGGGTGCTGGGGCTGCCTGCAAGGGAGACTCAGCTGACCCCACGTGTCCGGCCTCCAGGGAAGGGGTCGTGCTGTGAACGGCAGGGCTGTACTTCCTAGAGCTGGGGAAGGGGCTTCTTTTAAGCCCTGAAACTGATTCCAATTCATTATAAACAAAAGTAAAAATGTCCTGTCCCTTCTCATCAACTCCTTGCGCGTGCAGTCAAGATACCTGGACGCGCTTTGCGGGAGACCGGTTTTAGCAGCCCAAACAGCGCCGCTGAGAACCAACGGCCCGTTCACGACCTTTCCCGCACCTGGACACTAGATGGCGCCCCGGCCTCAGTGAGGCACAGGCCAGCTCAGCACCGCACGGACGGACCCAACCGAAGCCTTCCAGAGCTCAGAGAGGTTTTCCAACTCCTCTCTTCCCCCAGCTCCTCATTGTAAAGTTAGGAACCTGACGAACAGCAGAGCCACATGATTGGTCCACCCCGTCATTATTAAAGTAAAGCCTGCAAACCTCAGGCAAATGCAGAAAGACAAAATACGCTGATTAAGCTCATTAAAGCAACCACCATAGGGGCCGCCCAGCAAGTGCCCCGCACACACCAGACGCTGTCCAGGCCCTGGGTATATGACCTGCAGCCCTCAGCAGGAGGCCGGTCCTGGGCACCACATTCCCCCACTGCGACACACACAGTCACCTACGGCCAGAGACGGAGGGAGCTCGCGGGCTCACACAGCCAGCAAGGGCGCGAGGAGCAGCCTTCCTCCTGCCCGGCAGTGCCACCGGGCTTCTCCTGAAGGAGCTGGCCGGCGCTTCGCCCTGCTGGGATCTGTCTCAGATTGCACACACCCCTCACCCGGCAACCTCGCCGTGTGCATGTGCTTGTGTGTTTAAATAAACATGAAGCCAGGCACACTGACACACACCTGTAATTCTAGTATTTGGAGGCTGAGGCAGAAGGATCACAAGCCTGGACAATTTAGCAAAACTGTCTTCAAAGTAAAAGATTTAAGAACTGGCTGTGACTGCAGCTCAGTGCAAAGGGTCTGGGTTTAACCTCAGTACCACATACATACACGCATACATGCATGCATACGTGCATATACATGTGCATACATGCATACACACATGCACAGATGTGAGAATGACACTGCCAATGAGAAGATCTTTTAAAATCTGAAATCTAAAATATCTGGCTTGGGGATTTAGCTCAGCAGCAAAGCGCCTGCCTGGCAAGCGCAAGGTCGTGAGTTCGATTCCCGGTACCAGAAGAAAAATAAAATAAAATACCTGGCTTTGCCTACTGCTATCATTCTTTTATCAATTCAAAATAGTTAAACTAAAAGCAAGGCTTCTCTCTCCCCACTGCCAAAACAGCGTGGGTCAGGCTGTGAGTGAACCTCCTGCTTGTTCTCTGCTGACACAAACCAGCCTAATTCCCTTTCACCCACTCTGCCAGGAGTTAAGGGCTTCCTTTTGCTACATCCACAAAGCAGTTACTTCACTGTTAGCTCCCTAAAAAGCTTAGCTCTCCTGCTGTGTAACAACTAAGATGACGTCCAGCCTCCTCAGGAAACAAAGAGTTTCTCAAGATAAAAAACAAAAAAAGACCAGCGAGAGTTCACTGTAATTGAATAAAATTTGTTAATTCTAATACAAAATTAGTTTAAATTCAAAAAGTATTTACAAAATTAAAGCCCATTAAAAATAAAAGATAACGCTCCCAGCGAACAGCAGACCCTAAACTGGGGATCCCAGTAAAATGCAACCTTAAATGCAACTGTGCCAGGCAGCATAAAAGCCAATTGGTGTCATGTAAGCAGAACTTGGGATCTTTTTTCTCAGTATGAGAGGGCACAGTTTATGCAAGAAAAAGTGATGTATGTACAGCAGTATCTTAGCACGAGTTATTCTGTGACTTTTATTCTTCACCTGTATTGCTTAAGTTTGTATAGCAAGCACGAATCAAACGGAGCTGCGCCTGAGTGCACACACTGCCTCCCACTTGGCGTGACAGCCTGGGCAACAGGCGTGTCCTCGCAGCCTCCTCCTCGCCCGCACAGTGTCTACCGCCCGTAGCTAGTGACTACCATTAAAGTAAGGGCGCGCACGCGAAGCTGCGCTCCAGCCCTGGCACATAAGCACCTGGCAGCCAGCACTCCTTCTCCACACTGCAAAGTGATTTTTACAACTGAGAGTTACTATGCTTCACCCCCAGCATCAAAAACAACTACACAAAACGTGCACGTCCTTTTACCTGTGATTCTACTTCTAAGAATGGAGAGAGGAAACTAGAACTGCAAGAAAAATGACTACGTATGCCAACCACAGCAGTTCTTAAGAAGTGAAAAACTGGACCAGGGATATAGCTCAGTGGCACAGCAGCTGCCTGGCAAGCATAAGGTCCTGAGTTCAATTTCTGGTACTAAAACATAAAAATAAGTAAATGAAAGTGAAAAACTGTAAACACCTTATACCTCACTCAGAAATAAACTAACAAAATTATGGCACAGTCATGCAATAGAATAATAAGCGCTGTAGCCACGGGATACGATCGCGTGGATCTACATGTACTGCCACAGAAAGAAGTCTCTGCTATGTCTAGTGAAAAAGGGAAACACTGTATGTTATGATCCCATTTTTATAAAAGAATAATGACTGTGTGTGTACACAGACATACACAATGTACATGGACACTGAAAGAATTGAGAGAAGATATGCACAAGAAAAAACAAAAGAAGAGAAGCAAATGGGAGCGATTAGGTGCCAAGGATCCTACCACCAACTACTAAACACGGGGCAGAATTGCAGTTCACTTTTAGGCTTTTTTTATTCGTTCATCAGCATTCCTTCTCTTTTTTAAAAAAGAAGAATTTTATCTGTACAAAAATATTTGCAATGACTTTTAAGATTTATACCTCTCATGTTCTCTGTAAGAAAACTTGGTCAGCTCTCCCAGCTCTGCCTAACCAATACCCAACAACAAAGCCACACCTGAGACAACACGCCTACTTAGATTCCAGGGCCCCAGTCAGATAATTTTGCAAGATGACTGGCTTAATCAGTCCTGCCCTGAAAGATCAGCTGTTCGAAGCAGCTTCCTCAGGTTCTCCACCTGTTATTTCTAACGGCCCAATGTGACAGAGATAAATTAATCAATATCCAGATCAAAAAGAAATGTACCACCAAGCACTTGCCTAGGAAGTTCTAATCCCAGCTTCACTACAGTGGTCTTCTGTTTGTGAGCTTACCTCTCTAGACCTGGATTGCCCATGCACAGGAAAAAACCGTGATTCAAGCGGAGTTCCCTGCTTGAATGATCATAGGTATGAAATGAAACTCCAAGTATTTAATCTAAATGCATGAATAACAATACACAGTGAAACTGGATTTTACAAGTAACAATGGTGATGATGATGATGATGATAAAAGAATAAATCTAGAGGAGGGGTTTCAAATTAGCTTCCTCCCCCAAAAACGGTGTTCCACCTCTACAGACAGCAAAACAGCAGCTACTGTGTGCACAGATTGTTTTCAATGTTACGTACTTTTCTCCTAAGCTCATCTGAAGTCCTTGGTGTATGCCATTACTTACATCTAGGCAGCGCTGACAAGTGGAAAAATGAATGTGCAGAAAACAAGTGTGATGCCAAAACACAGCTCATCATGTTGCCTTCGAAAGGTTTATCCTCTTTTGCCTTTTGAAGTGCTCCCGCCTGTGTATGCTCACGGATATCCATACGCTGAAAACCCACCGCCAGCTAGAAAGCTGCTACTCATCCCCACAGTGAAACTAAATAGGTCAGGAGGGAGACACCACCGGGAATCCCAGGTCTGGGCTGAGTACCACCGACTCTGCGTATGTGACCAGGGGCAAATTCCCTACCAATCTCTCTCAGTTTCCTTGCCGGTGAAATGCAGGCAGGAGTATCTACATGGACATAATCTACACCTATAAAATGTTATGTGAGCACTAACTGAGGTAAGACTGGGATTAACCAGTAACCAGCACATGGAAAGTACTCAGTAAGTGACGAGGTCATCGGCACCATCCCCAAAGAATACCAAGGTGTCCAGCACCCCCCAGCCAGAGATGTGAGAGCCGCTGACCGAACTCAGCAATCTATTTATTGGTGTGACCCGTTTGTTTCTCAAATTCTTTAATAACAGGGTAAAGTGAACATCCTATCTATAGCAACCTAGAAACATTAGTTTTAAAACGTGATTAGAGCGCCACCTACTGGAAATTAAACATGTAACATTTAACTGGCTGGTACTATTCAATGCTTAAAAATGAATAAATATTCTTTGAAGAAAATTACACAGAAAAAGAGGTAATCAGAAGAAACTGAGAAAGAATAAATAAATAAATAAATGAGATAAACTTTTGGATGGTAAAGGAAACAATAAAGACCTACCATTTTCAATTTTGCTTTTAGGGTGTGGTCCACTAAACGCTAAAAATTTTCCTGGAACAATCCAGTTGAAGTCACCATTTTCAACTCGCTGGAAGAATTTTGTGGGGGAAAAAAAAGAGAAGAAAAACATTTTATAATTCTTACGCAATTTAGGAAACCTTTATAAAGAAAACACGTTTCACACTTTAAGTACTAAATATGAAGACAAAGTAATACAGCTTGCAATCAAACATGCACCTGATCTTCAAAATGTCATTTTTGAATTTATTGGAGAAAAATTTCTGTTTAGAATATGAAAAGTTCAGATTATAGGAAAAGTCACTTTATTTAAGGGAAAGGTACTTTACTTGAAATAAGTTTGTCTCCCGGCGAAGAAGTGAACACACACACTACTGACGCCAGCAATAAACAGAGGTTTTTCTGTGCCCCTGAACACAGCACACAGACCCCACCGATGGAAGAAGTCCTCCTTCTCAGGCTCACTACGAACGCTTTTCCAAGTTCTTTCTGCGCTGACATCCGCGGTCAGTGCTGATGTGAAGGCAGGGAAGGCGCAGGCGGCCAGCGGGAGAGGACCTGAGGTGGTGAAACCTGGAAGCGGCCACACACCAGCCCGCGGCGAGGGCCCCTGCCGGGCCGCAGACCCAGGCCGGGGAAGCAACAGAGGCCTGCGGGAAAGCTGACCGGCCGACCTTCCATCTCCATTTCCAGGAAAACTTAACTTTGAAATGTGGACTATTTTCAACCAGACTTTTAAATAGTATCAAATCAAACAGAACAGAACCGTGGACTGACTTTGATTCTATATTTATATTTATATTCTATTTACAGGCCAGGAACCTGTAAATCCTGAATGGGATCCTCAGAAAAGGCCTGAAGACCAAGAAAGGGGCCAACGGCCTTTTCACCACTCCATCCTCGCCTCTGTTTTGTTCCCTCCACCATGAGCCTCAGAACCCGTGGGACGCTGGTAAGGACCAAGGTTACCCAAGAATTTGCAGGTAACTGGGAGATACCCGTGGATACATCCTAAAATACATAAATCACCTCCTTCCGTACGCCTTCTCTACACCCACCCCACCCGCTGCCCCAGGCTCCCTCCTCAGAGCAAGGGGGCGACACGGAGCCTTCGTGGGGCCACCACGGCTCACCCTCTCCTGCACCGTACGGCGAGGACTTCCACGGGGAGAGAGCTGAGCCACACCAATCTGTCCTGCAGTAGAGGAGCTGAGTGAGTCTTGTTACATCACTCAGAATAAAGTCATCGGGAAATCTGGAGCCGTTACTTTACTCGCAGTACCCATTACCATCGAAACGAAAATCAAAACTCGCCCGTTTTTCATTTTTAAACTGCAGATGTTTCTCTCCAGTGAAACTTTACATGACAACTTGTAAATCTCTGTAATGAATCAACGCAGCTGTAATACACATATGATATCATAATGCCCCAAGTAAGATCTTAGAGATACTATGAGTGCTATGAGCTCACAACCATAGCTATCTGTTTACAGCAATTTGGTTTTTTGTTTTGTTTTCTGAGACAGGATCTCACTATGTAGTTCAGGCTGGCCTGGACTCCCGACGTAGCCTAGGCTGCCTCAAACCCCCAGCAATCCCCCTGCTTCAGCCTCCTGAGTTCTAGGATTACAGGCGCGTACTGGGAATTGACCTCACCAGGCAGGCACCATGCCGCTGAGCTACGCCCCTGACCCCTACAGTAATCAAACACTGTCTTGTTTTCTTTAAAAAAAGGTCTCAAATTAATGACCCAGTGCCCTCCTGAATAAGTATTAAGCTTAAACACTACTTAAAAATTCAAGAATAAAAATAAGCTCTAACCATCAAGACTAAAATCATTCTTTACGAACAGTCAAAGAAATCGGGCTTCCACGTTCCCTACTTCTGTACCCTTGGCCACCACGGAGGCTAGATAAAACACTGCTCTATATCTGTTTATGTGGGTTACAGACACGCTTGGTTACACAGTAACTATTTTTAATCAATCATAAAGGACAGAGACAGTGGCCTGGCTAAGAAACATTCACTCAAAGAACCGAAACAATACAGTGACACATCTTCCCATTCAACAAGATAAACATTAGTTAATATTGGACAATGTTTAACAGTCTGAATAAAGATAGTGAAATAAGCAAAGAGATTTAGAATATTAGATTTAACTATAAAAAAATTGAAGTTACACCTTTTAGTTGACCTAATATAACATAAGCTTACTTTGGTAATGTCCTGAAATTAGTATCTTTAACTTCACTACTTATATAAATGCTAATTTGTGTCAATACCAGAATATTTTAAGTGATGTAAGTTAGTTTTTCTAATTAAACGCACACACAAACTCTTCAAAGAAACTTAGATCAGACAGGAGCTCCAGGTACTTTCCAACCCTGTGTCTTTTTTTTTTTTTTTGGGGGGTACCAGGAATCAAACTCATGACCTCAGGGTTGCCAGGAAAGTGCTTATGCTGCTGAGCTATATCCCCAGCCCCCAACCCTGTGTCGTTTGGTGAAGAAACAGCTACGCAAGGATAGGGTAAGAGAACGATTGAGCCTCATCCAATGTAAAGCCTCCTACTTACCAAACACTATTCAGAAAAACTATAGATGTTTCACGCTATAAAAAAATCCCCAAACTAAAGTCTGAATTCTGAAACTGATGAGCTTAGGCACTGTTATTTGCTACAGGGATCTTCAGTCCACAAAAGACTCAGTGGATTCTTTAGAACAGATAACTCTCTACTGCACTTAAAATATAATCTGATTTGGAAGGGTGCTTTACACAACTTCCAAGAAACATATCTGTGCCTCTGATTTATTTCTTTGTGATTGTCACAAATATATTTTCCAGTCCAGACACTGAAAAATATTTGGCCTTTTTACCACTGTGACAAACCTACAGTAATAAAGATCATGCTTGAAGTTGCCAATTTAGACTGATTCCTTCTATCGACATATGCTTTCCCAGACAACACGGATAAACAATTTTGAAGCACAACTCAACACTCACTTAAACATTCGCTGAGCCTTTAATATGCATGAAGGACTATAACCTAGTGCTGCATATAAAGTAAAAAGCATTCTCTAGTTTTTAGGAGTCTGGAGACAAAAGGAAATGTCAAAAAACAGTAATAAAAATAGCCACAAATATTCACAGACCCTGACTCTGTGTAGGGCATTACTCTATTCCATGCAGGTCAATCTTCAGAGCAGCGCTGCAGGGTAAGAGTTATCATCTCCACTTTATCCACTGAAGACAAAGTTGCACTAAACTTTGATAAATACCCTCGGTAAAACTGGCACAAAGACTATTTTTAAAAGTAAGTACAATATAACTACACTGCCTTTTAAAAATTCATTTAAAAAGTACAGTCTGTATTTCCCTAGGTTCTTAAACCATTAACTAGTGTTGACAGTATAGCTGTACTGCATAAATGCAAGTCTGCTATAAAGATGGGTACTTTATGAGCTTAAAGCAAAGTAAACACTTGGACTGTTTGGTTTAAATTAAGTTTCCATGCCCTTTGGCTTTAAACAATAATCAAACTCTAGATTATTAATTGAGCTCTGCTCCTGAGGGAGACAGCGAGGTGAGGGAGGAGGAGAATCCGAGGTGGAGGACGGCTTCACGGCTGTTGCAACACCTGGGGGAGGGAGAGGGACAGCTGCCCGGGGCCAAGGAGGGACAGCCGGGACCAGAGAACATCTCTGCTGACACAGGCAGCGAGCAAAACTCTACTGATGCCGTCCCAGTGTCTGCGACGCGGAGATCTGGAGCAGACGGACGGTGTTGTGGAAAGTAGGAAAGGACCAGGCGTGTGACGAGCCATCGTGGGGCTCTGCCGAACAGCAGACGTCAGGGCGGGCGGGGAAGAGAAGAGATCTGCAGGGTGGACTGAGGAAGACGCGCAGAGACGCGGGGAGAAAAGAAAGGCACAGCATCTCACAATGAGAGAACACAGTGAGTTTACAGAGCCCTGAGCGGCCACACAGTGAAACAGCAGGAAGACCAAGCACGGCCATCCCTGCACTCCCGTGGTGGTAGAAAGAGTTTCCGTGGAGTCGTGAAGACAGCGGCCAGGCCACAACCAGTTACAGGGAGGGCGGCTCTCTCAAGAAGTTTGGAGATAAAAGAAAGGACAGAGAGCAAACGATAATTAGAGGGGGAAAAAACAAGAAACTGCTTAGAACACGGCAGACCGCAAAGCATTTGACAGACCTAACCGACATGACCCTTCACTGGCAAGGGTGCAGGTCATTAGCAGATGCGGGAACACCGGGCCCCTTCACTTTAGCAGCTGCAGGGGCCAGGACGGGATTTGGGTCCTTGTATTTGTGACCGTCGCGTGTGCAATCAGTGGCCCCAGGGGAACACCTGCAGCAGTTCCTCTACTAGGCAACCCGCTGTGGGACGCACACGAGTACCCTCGCAGCAGGGGGAGGCCTGTCCACACACTGCATCCCGAGGCTGCCTGACCTCAGCCCCGCGGCAGGACTTCATCACCACAGCGGCAGAAGCTCCCGTCTTTCCGGGGCACAATTCACGAACGAGGAAAGGCGGACGAGCAGCGTCCACCTTAAATTCTAGTCTGCTCTACAAATTCTAACCAGAAGCGAAGCCTTGAACCTTTATCCTTCAGGTGTTCAACGCTGACTCCGGCACGAGAGTAGAGAGGACTCCCCGAGGTGGGAAACCAACTTCACTGCTTCTCACGGACACACAGCAGGGAAACCAGGAGCCCACGCCGCCTCGCCAGCCCGGCAGTTTACGTCTGCAGTGCAGGGCGCAGCCGACCTGCAGACAGTCCCCGGTCCCGCAGCGAATCCAGTTAACACTGCGTGCGGACCTGGTCGCAGTTCTGTGCTGCAATCTGTGTCGCAAACAGCCGATTGTTTAAAGATTTGCTCTCCCAGCATAAGCTGACTGAAGGTAAGGGGAAGAAACATCAGTTCAAGACGCTGTCTACCATAAAACACTTTGTTCCCTGGAGTGATACTGCAAAATCAGAATGGATTTTTAATTAAAAGTCTTAGTTCCTTCCTACTAAAGTTAGATCACACAAAAAAAAAAAAACCTTGAAATGTGTAATACTCCTGTTTTCAGTATTCATTCAGCCATGTATTCACTAGTTCTTTCATTCCAGAGACATGTAGAGACCGTCCTCTGTGAATGTACTGTGCTACTAGATTCCTCGCTCACACAAAGGGGAAAAGGACTGGGTTCCCGCCCACAAGCACCCACAGGCCCACAAGATGCCAGCGTGCAAACACAGCCTCACACAGTGCTGCCTGAGAGCAGCTTCTGTGAGACGGAAAACACAGAGGAGTAAGGGCAGGGGCGCCCGAAGGCTCTCAGGCAGGAGGAGTGGGTGCACGCGTCCACAGCCACAAGTGTGGGCATCGGCACAGGTGTGGGTGTGCGCAGGGAGTGGAGGGACAGGAGCGGAGAGGAAAGCGCAGCCCGTTTCTGCGCCGTGGAAGGAAGCTTGCGTCTCCCGTCTACTTCTAGGCAGTGTGGAGCCTGTGACACACTTCAAACGGGGAGGATAAAATCAGACTTATTTTTAAAACATACACGCTGACAGCAACGTAAAGGCTGACAGAAGGGGCCCGAGAACCACCCCAGGCATCCAGAGAGGTGCAGCGCCTTCTTCTCACGAACAGCTCCCCGAGAAGCTGCACTGTGACGGTGAGACACTGTAGCACCACACGCTCCAGCGGCAACGCTCTCTCCTCAGAAGAGCATCCACGGGGTGAGGACGGCAGTGATGACGACGATGACAAGGAGCCCAGGGACTCGGGGAGAAACAGTCCACTTCAGCGGACCACTGAGAAACCCTGTGTAGCTAACGCAGCTAAGAAAGAGGGAACTGCAGGCCTGAGCCGAGAGTCAAACATGGTAACTTCTGCAGAATGGGGCACCTCTGGGACTCGCTGGGGCACGTGGGTGCTACGGGGGAAGGTGAGCTTTTCTGCAGGTTCACCTGTGGTGGCCAGTACAGGGACAGCACGTCTTCTGGTAACAGTGGACAGCCCCCGGGGCAACTGAAATGTCAAGCTAAAGCTGTAACTTTCAGTGTGGACTGTCTGATAAATAATGATTGCCGAACTGTAGCACCATTAACGACGGGCAGTCTTGTTTGAATAGGACAGTTCCCGGAAAAAGAAAAAGTTAAACAAAAAGTTAACTGAAGGCAGAGCCTGTCTGGGAGTGCTCCTTCGAAGTCTTCTTAAAAGGTACCTGTGCAAGGCGGAGGTCTCAAAATTTAAGCTTCACTAGCCTGAAACTAATGTAAGGGATGAGAGTGTCTTAGTACTATCTGGATTTTTTTTAAGTGTTATAAGCATTCTCCTGTGTCTTTTCTTTCCAATAATATAGTACAGAAATCATCCTAAGACAAGTATTACATCTCATTTTTAAAATGAGATGTAAATTGAATCTTAAATTTTTAAAATGACCACAGAATTTAGATGTTATTTACCTATACCAACTCCCCAAGATGAATGTAATCATTATGTACCGCAAACATGTAATACTATGAATTTTTTTTAAATTTAAAGACAAAATAAAATGGCTACATACCATCCCCCCATGCATATGTATTTGCACTACGGGTTACCTACCTAATCTTTTCTCTTATGAGGGCGGCTCTCTCTCTTTTTTTATTGTGTTGTTGTTTTAAGGAGAAAGACTTCTTTTGCAAAAATGCTTTCAGAGTTGGAAAAAAATACTCTGGGAATTTTTAATAAATGGCATTAAACTTACTAATGGTGGAAGAAGAATCAATTTTATGATATTAAGGCGCTGCGTCCAGGAACACAGTGTATGTTTTTCCACTTGGTCAGACCCCAGCCGTGGGGAATCTGCAGTCTAATAGGGAAACTGCAGCTTGCACGCAAAGTGCTACAGGAGATGAGAAGAAAGGGAAGTATAAACTAAACACGAAGGCGGGGCGCGGGACACTGCGGGTGTGGTCTGGCTCCTGTGGGATCTGAACACGCGGGACGGTCCTGGGTGAAAGTAAGCTCAGCCAAGACAGGGAGACACTTAAGAAAGGTAAATAAGCAGCGCCGAGAAACTGGAACACTGCGTGCACAGGCAGAGAAACAGGAGACGCGGCGGTGAGGCAGGCCGAGCACAGCACAGCTGAGCACGCCAGGACAGAGGCGCGTAGCCTCGTTTTAGCAGGGCGGAGCAAGCGCAGGCCACGCCGGGGCTAGGAACAGGAAGAGAGCTCTGTGTTAAGATCTCGGGCATGTAGAACCAGCGGGGAGGAGAAGGCTGGCCTCAGGTGGAGAGCGACTGTAACCATCTGCAGGAGATGTGAGACCCGAGCCAGGGACAAGGAGATAAAATACATCCTGTAGCACCAGCAGCCGGACTTGAAACACCTGAGATGAAGGACACAAATGAAAAAGGAGATGTTCTAGGCCTGAGCCTAGGTGAACAGTAGGACGCTGACACTATTAGCGCAGCTGAACAAAGCAGAGGACCATGTGGGGTGAAAGATGATCAGTCTCTGTTCAGACGGGTTAAATGTAGCACATCAGCTGGGCATTCAAAGTCTAGCCCAGACGGTTCCTGAACTAGATCCCAAGCTGTAAGGACTGTCCTGGCCTTACTAAGAATAGGGATAAATTTTATTACTCGCCTGGAAAGGCCCCACAGATGAGCTCATGTTCGGAAAATGCTGAGGCTCTTCACACTTCACAGGCTGCTTTTGCTCTCAGAGAACGTGTACTACTTCTAGGTCCTCTGTAGCCTACTCAGAAAGTGTCTTTCCTCAAAGTCTCCTTAGAGCGTTACCCAGCCAGGCCAGGCGCTGTCTACAGGCCACACCACTGGCCAGGGAAGACACGGTTCCAGAAGCTCCCTAATACTCCATGGGGAAAAACTCAGCCAACTCTTAGAACTGAGGACATTCAGTCCTATTTCAAAATAAAATGTAAGCCAGGTGTGGCGGCCCACACTTGTAATCCCAGTACTCTGGAAGCAGGGGCAGGAATGTTACCATGAGTTTGAGGTCAGTCTGATCTACACAGAGAGTTCAAGGCCAGCTTTAACTATGAAGTGAGACCCTGTCAAAAATCAAAACCTAAAAAATTTTTAAAACAACAAAATACAATGCATAGGGTAAAAAATATTCTAAGGCATAAGTCTTTTTTTTTTTTTGAGGCAGGGTCTCTCTATGTAGCTCAGGCTGGCCTTGAACTACCTATGTAACCCAGGCTAGTCTCAAACTGACAGCATCCTCCTGCCCCAGCCTTCAAGTGCTAGATTACAGGTGTGCATCACCATGTCCAGCTTTTAAACAATTTTTTTAATTTAAAATAAAAAATAAAAGTAACTTATAATCTCACTACCAAACTATACTTAGAAATTATTTTTCTTATAAAGTGCAAAGTGCTTGTCAATAATCTTTTGCTAAATGAATAGATATGGCATTTTCCCAAATTAAAATTTTGATGATTCCTGGTTTAAAGGTAGTAATAGTTAAAAGGACAAAAGTAACAACTAAAAAAAAACCTCACAAACAATTTTATTTAGCAACCACTCAATTTGTAATTCCAAAATATTAGATGCAAACCAAATTTCTTATTAACATGAAATTATATTTTCCAAAAATATTAAATGTACCAACCTCATAATGTTCATATTCATCCACATCAAATGTCTCAAAGTCAAAAAATCCATGTTGTAACCCCTGAAAGGAGAATTTGAATTAGATTTTTCACACTAAATTGATAAAATTTATTCATCGGTTCTCAAATCATTCCTTACAAAATGGTGCTCACTGGGGGCTGGGGATGTAGCTCAGTGGCACAGCGCCTGCCTGCCAAGCACAAGGTCATGAGTTCGATTCCCGGTACCGGAAAAAAACAAAACAAAACAAAACAAAAAAACAAAATGGTGCTCACTGACCTGGATGCAAGAGCTGGGAACTTTTGATTTTTTAATGCAACTCTAGAAATCATTTTATAACTCTGAAAGCTTTGTTTTAATAATACTCTCCTAGAAACAGAGCTAAGCCACTTGAATAGTATAAGAATATGTCCCACCAAAGATGCCGTCTGAGTATCCATGTATATTAGTTTTGTATATAAACATAATAAACTGAACATACTGGCAAGTTTACAGTTAAACCCTACTGGGAACTATACCTATAACCATACACATGAGAGTGATTAAGTTCTCAGAAGAAAAATCTATTAGCATTAGAAAATTCTGTTTGCCTTTTTCAAAATATTTGGCAAAAAAGGGCCTTTTTACTTAATAAGCCCTAATTTGTTCAGAGAGCTTCACTCTGAAAAAACCTCATCTGCTCTTTTGTTTGTTTTGTTTGTTTGTTTGTTTGTTTTGTTTTGTTTTTCCGGTACCGGGAATAGAGCTCACAACCTTGTGCTTGCCAGGCAGGCGCTGTGCCGCTGAGCTAAATCCCCAGCCCCTCCTCATCTGCTCTTACAATTCAGAAGAACTGGTATCTTTAACAACACAAAACTTCACTTGTTTTTATAACTAATGACTTAGAACATTTAAAAATTACCTGGCTTGTTCAGACCTAATATTTTTAGGAAGACAAAGAATCTTTTATTTGGTAAGCTGTAAAGCTATACAGATGACAACGGAACACAAAAGGTACAGGTACCTTTAAAAGTTACATGACCAAGTCATTAAAAATAGAGAAAGAAAGCAGGAAGCTGAGCTCCAGCGGATCCAGTTTTAAAAGCACTTTAGGGACCAGTGCTTCTTTGGAAAGGTGGAAGATGGGTCACCTGCATCAAAACCCTCAGGGTGACACTGGAAGACAGATTTCCAAATCCCATCCCAGAACACTAAATCTGATTCTTTGAGGAGGCGGCTCGGGATCAGCTTTCTTTTTTTTTAATTAATTTTACTGGTACTTTTGATATACGTAATGATCTCACTTACCACAGGGATCTGTACCCGTGCATGGTATAGCTTCATTCCTTGTCCCCATTCCCCTCCGCTCCCTTCAACCCCTCTTCCCCCCCTTATTTACAAAAGCTGTGTTTCCATTTTTTCCTTCTGTTCTTTTTCTCCCGTTTTCCCTCCCTCCCCTGCCCCCTTTACTCCCCTTTCCACTTGAACCTTTTCTCCCAATTCCCAAAGGACCAGCTTTCTAACAAGCTTTCCTGAGCAACGCCTACACACGCTAACCTCTGAGAACACTGGCTGACACCACTCCCGGAGAATGAGCTAAACTAGGTACTTAAACTGTTTTTGCCTTTCAGAAGGACAAGTTAGTCCAGCCATATGCACTGCTCCAAAGAAACCCGTGGAAAAATTTACTCAGATACTTTTCTTCCTTTCTCTTTATTTTTAAACTGTGCATCTGTGAATGTCTCTGTGTATTCACATAACACGTGAGCTAGGATTACAACAATGTTAATACATCAAAGCCAGAAATACATCTTCCTTAAAAAGGCAAAACTACGGCTACACTTGTCTACACTCTCAGAAGGGTACTCACTGTCCCCAAAATAGCCCGGATGGTGATGTCTTACGGACGAGAGTACACCTGGAGAATAAGCTACACTGGGTATTAGTATCTCAGCTGACTAAAGGCGTGTTGAACAATATACTAGATCCTTTAAAATCTCATCTAAATTTGGGCAAACCCAAATCTGATGAAACAATCCGTTTAGAGAAGCCTGTATTTGAGAGCAGTCACACCTTTCCTGTACAACGGGAAGGATGTCATAAATTTCTAAATTGAGATACCAGCTACCATAATAATGGGCAGGGATATTCCTGCGGGAACTCTTCCTGAATTTCCTAAGTGTTACAAAAGAAACAGCCTGTACCAGATGGAAGGAAAAGCAAAATAACAACAGTGACAAAAAATAAATTATGTTCTTCTCTTAGGCATTCTTTCCAAATGCTATAATTACGGGTTACGTGTGGAGTAATGTCTCCATAAAACCACTTAACTAGTATTACTGCAAGGGCATTTTGGCAATACTGTTTGGGCTAGTATATCTCCATAGCTGTTTTGTTTTGTTTTAAGAAAAATATTTGAAAACTTTTTTAAAGTAGTAGAGGGTTTAAAACCATTGATAAAATGAAGTATCAGGGCTGAGGATATAGCTCAGTGGGCGGAGTGTTCACCCAGCACTTGCAAGGCCCTAGGTTCAATACCTAGCACTGCAAAGTGAACTATCAAAATCAGAAACAGACCTAGACAAATCAGGTAGTATATTTATCATACTGACTTTTTCAACTAGGAAAATAGCAAAATCTGTTTTATATTACCTCAGAGAAAAGAAGCAAACGAGACTCACTGCTGACACTACCCAGTCCAATTGGCCAGGTGCTACATACATACCTGACTGATGAAAAATCATCACCTAAGATGAAATTGTGTACTTCGCCTCCTCGTTAGAATTCACCGCGTAACTTGCATGACCTCCCAGACTGTAAATTAAACATGTTCCAAAAAGCTCACTGCTTAACTTCTCTATTACCACAGCTAAATAACTGCATAGCGTGTCAAGTCACGTGGAGGGACTGTTCAAAACCAGACCGCAGGCCACGCCGCCTCCCGAGTTTCTGACTCAGGCAGTCCAGGCAAGACCGGTAACCTCAGAGGACCGGGCTCCGACAACTTCCCTTCTCTCCCGCACTGACGTCGAGCTGGAGAACTAAGCCAAAGGAGTCACAAAGCAGCAGGCACCGCAGCAGAGTGAAGTGACAAACTGGCCCCACAACGTGGGTAGTTTAAATGAGAAAGGGAGACCTCTCCCACTTCTCCCCGCAAGTCTGCTGTTTTCCATACAGTCTCCTTGCTTGGAATCCGTGAGGACTGACCCAGGAACCTCCACAGATAAAAAAATCTGAAGATGCTCACGCCTTCTATATGAAATAGTGCAGTATTTTCACATAAGCTATATACACCCTCCTGTGCATTTTACATCATCTCTAGATTATTTATAACACCTCATGCAATTACATGCTACATAGTAAGTTGCCGTACTGCGTTGTATAGAGAAAAAGAAGCAGTCAGTATATTCAGTAAGAAGCAGGAAGGGGGGATTTTCTCAGGCTTTTCAGTCTGAGGCTGGTTAAGTCACCCGTGAGGGGCTCTCAGACACTGGGAACCAACTCTGTTTCTCAAATTAATCATCACTCAGAAAGAAAAGGGCCTGCGCTGGGGATTCAGCTCAGCCGCACAGCGCCCGCCTGGCAAGCGTGAGGTTGTGAGTTCGATTCCCGGTATCAGAAAAAAAAATAAAAACAAGAAAGTGAGGGGCCTTCAGCTTACAAGCTCCCCTCTCTTCCCTCCGAGGACAGAGAAGGGTGTTCAGATTATTCCTTTTCGATAGTTTTAAACTACTACACCAACCAACAGCTAGAAAAACTGTCATTACCTTTCTGATTCCTTGTAAACAGTCAAGGATGGTGAGATTGTAAGTGCAATTTCCAAATGAAGCATCCCTATAAACATAAAGAAACAGCGTTAAAAACCAGCATTCAGAATTTTCCAGTAATAAAATGCCTCAGTCAAGAGATTCGCTTGCTCAGTTTCAAGCTGTCAAGATGATAGTTAGACAACATGTCACAGCCCACCAACTAAGTACTCCTGCAGCTTCACTGAAGCACTTCTGAAACTGCTTAGCTCAAACAGGCAGAATTAATATAAGTAAGTACGGAAATAAATAAGCAGGTTCGATAGCAGGGGCTCCAGAGTAGCGGTAGTCACACTGCCTTGCTTCAAACTCCCACTCTGCCACATCCTGAGTACCAACCTGAGCAAGCTGCTTTCCCTCTACGAGTCTTGGTTTCCCCATCTGTGAAACGAAGGTAATGACAGTAGCTACCGCTCATAGAACTGCAATCACATCATTTGATTTTTTTTTTCCAGTACCGGGAATAGAACTCACAACCTCGCGCTTGCCAGGCAGGCGCTGTGCCGCTGATCATTTGATCAGCAGGGCTGGGGCCCCTAGATCATTTGAAATATATGTAAACTCCTTCACACAGTGCCTGGCAGTAAGAAAGCACTTAAATACCCTTACAACTTATACTAACAGTGAAGTGGATTGTTTTATTAGGTAAAACATTCATCATCGCAAGAGGCATTCTGGCAGGTGAATGACCTCCCACCAGAAACATGGACAATGCAAGCATTAAAAGGTAAGGGCACTATGTATGTAGCTCAGCAAAACCCGGCAGTTCTGTTCATGGATGAAATACCATCCCTCCCCTCCCAAAACAAAACCAAGCTCCAGGAAAATGCAGTCACAGTCCCCAGCAACCCCCTCAGGGGCACCGGGATCCAGGAAGGCTCCTAACGCAGCAGGAGCTGCTCTGCCAAAAGGAGAGGGAACCTAGGACATGGAAATTTGAGGGCTTCCTCCTTTATTTACTCAAGTTTTTAGAGCAACCTAGCAGATCTGCCTCAGGCAACATAAAACTGAAGTATCAAGTTCAGGTCAGGTAAGCAAGAACTGGCCCTGAAGCTTCAAGGCTAGCGGTGTTCCAAGGCGTTCAAGGCAGGAAACCTGACCGCCAGTCTCCCGTCTGTGTGCCCAGCCCCCACCGCTGACCCAGGCAGCAGAGCTGTGGGCACCCACCCTGACAAACCCAATGCCCTGCACACGGGCAGTAGGGCAGCACCCGGGACAGTGCCAAAGCTCCGCAGGGAGAACACAGCCCTCAGCGGCTTCTACACACAGTTACCAGAAAATGAAGTTTCCAATCGCCAACCACCCAAGGTACCTTTAGGGCTACTAAGCCACAAATTAAAATGCAACGCCAGCGTTACTGAGCTTCCGCACCCGGAGAGCCTAACACAAAAACAGCGAGCAGAGTGGCCTGACAGAAAGGCTTCCCAAGGCCCGCAACGCCAAAGAAAATGCAATTAAACTCAACGAAACTATTAATATATAAAAATGTAATTTAGAACAGCCCAATATGTATTTTTCAGTTAACAGATTAGCAAACAGATTTAGTTCACAGACTTAGTGACAGGTCTGATAACTACTGTGCTTTTTCAGAAGGAATGAGAATAATATTTTAAGATATCACCACAGTAATATGACATAAAAATGCCTGTGATTTCTACAGTAACAAAGCTACACTATATTTAACTCTCAACATACATAATTGAATGCAATCTCATAAACTATGAAGTTAGTGAAAATAAAGACAAGCTTTCTTTCACTAAAGTGTGCCAACTCTAATTCTAATTTTAAAAAGAAAATAAAACTTACAAAGAGCAAAATAAAGACTTAGGAGAATTGGAGGAGCTCCTTATTCCTTCGAGCATCACCTCCTCACCCCTAGACTCAGTGAAACAGTTCTACAAATAGGAGGCCCCAGAGAAAGCACCAGCCCTCATCTTCCTCCACCTCTGCAAGATACAGTGAGACGGTCGCCAGGGCTCTGCACCTGTCCCAGCCACGACTGCTACCAGGGGCTGCGAAGGGCTCTGGCGACTTGGTAGTCAAGTCTGCAATCCTGCAAAGCCGGGGGCTGGCAAGACAGAAGTTTACAGAATGAATTATAATAAGGGATGTCATAAAATTCAGTTATACCCTCTGGACTGAGGAAGGCAGGTGACAACTCTTTGGGGCACCTACTGTGCCAGGTGACTCAGGCACAGTACACACTGAACCTCACGCTCCAATATCCGCCCCATAGAGGGCAAGAAAGAAGCGGCTGCCTCGTAGCATCTGGCTCAAGCACACCACGGAGAGTGAATGCAGTTATCAGCGAAGAGACACACAGCAGGTCATGCGTTCTCTGGAAGGAAGAAGATACCGGTGGAAGACTGAACCCGTGAATCTACTGTTTTTAAAGTCCTCCTCCCCACTGGATAGGGAGAACAAGGGAGGAGGGGAATGAATAAAAGAGGGTTGGGAGGGAGGAAGGCAGGGAAGGAGAAAGGAAGAGGGAGGGAGAGAGAGATAGAGGAAGGGAGGGAGGGAAGGAGGGAGGGCACCTGCGGAATGTTTAAAGCTCAAAATCAGACAAATGAGTGGTAAACAGACCAAGGAAGCTGACTGCTAAGCAGACTATTGGAAAACCAGAGAATTAACATAATTAAGACCAGATAACTGTCAGAGCTGGGAAGGTGGGGGCGCTGGATCCTTCTGGAAGTGAGGATAAGAAAACGACTTCGGTAACATCTGAAAGACCCACGGGAGAAATCAAGCGTTTTCAACCCTACAAAAGCAACATTACTTCTCGCCGTATCCATCAACCCGCCCTGTTAATCTCCCTCAAGCCCACCGCAGTGAGCACCACCTGAAAGCAGAATCAGCTGCCCCGGGGCTCCGAGGGCCCCACACAGCATCAGCCTAGAGCTGGGAGATCCCGCGTGAGCGCTGTTTTTCATCTGTGCTATAAAACGTAAGGGATGTGAGGGGTGAGGGAACACCAGGTTCTACTAACCAAACGCCCTCTCCTGCCCCGAAGGCGGTACCCTCAGCACTGTCAGTGCTCTTCCCCCCCCCCCACTCTCTCCCACAGCCCGCTCCGCAGAATTTACATGACTCGCTTCCGTACTTTCCTCCAGCTACCACCCTCTCTTCCTCTTTACATCAAACCACCTTCAGAGAATTACTTGTTTCCTCCTGAAAGCGTAGGGCGGCTTTGGCATACTCAGAGCTGTGCGACCCCAGCACCACTAACTCCCAAAAACCTCTATCCGCTCAGGAAGAAACCCCGTGCCCCTGCGGTCCTCCCCACTCTCTCCGGTCCCGCTGTCCACTCATCTGGGCTACTCACACGAGGCCAGCAAGCTTGCGCGAACACCGCACCCAGCGTGTCCGCAGTGCGACCCCCGCCCTCGCCGCTCTCCTCTGGGTCCCGGGTACTCTCTCCCTCTCTGCACGACATCCCACTCTCCTCCGCAAAGTTGCCCTTTACCTCCCAAACTTTACAAATCAGACCTCAGCAGGTACAGTTCCCGGCCCGCATTCTTCCCGCTCCACCTCCCGTCCTAGCTCAGGGCCTCTGACACTTACAGTGTCTGTACGTCAGGATCGTCTCGGTGGTGCCTTAACACCCAGATTGCTGCGCCCGTGGGAAGTCTCCGATGCAACAGATCCAAGGCAGGGCCTGAGAACCTATGCTTCTAACAAGGCGCTGCTGAGGCCGCGGTAGGAGGGAGTACATTAGAGAACCATGCCCCGCCAGTGTCACCTCCATAAATTACCACCTATCTTCCAGTGACCCGAATCTCTCTCTGACACAAACTCCTTCTCAGAACTCCAAATCAGTACAGCCAACCACCTCCACGACATGCCCTTTAGGTGTCTCAAAGTCACTGTGTAAGAAAATCTCCTGAGTCTTTCTCCCCCCCCAACCCAACCACCCACCCCAAACACTAGAATCAATGATCTGATTCCCTATTACCCCCGTCTAGGTAAGAGATAAAGCTTCCACAGCTGTTCAAGCTGGGGCCCAGACCCATCCCCGTTTCTCTCCATCCCTTTATCTGACCCATCTTGTGCTTATTCCGTCCACTGTTTTCTCCGCTTAAACATGTGGACGCATTTCACTCCGAGTCCGTTACCTCTGTCTTTCTACCGCTATGCTTAGTCTTTCTCATCACTGTACTGCGTGACATTTTTAAAAGGCAAGTACGATGTTGTCACGCTTCATGTACGGCTCATCACTGATGCCTCACTGCTCCCCAGGTAAAGTCAAATCCTCCACCTGGACAAGGTCCTGCGATGCCTCCCCCACCCCGGCCTCTCCGGGCAGCCTCTGACCCATGTCCCCGCGCTCCAAGATGGGGCCGCGGCTCTCGCTGCTGAAGCTCTGCCCCTGCCGGTCCCGTGCTCCTCCTGCTCACCTGGCCAGGCCGCCTTCCTCACTCTCAGATCTCAGCCCCAACAGCACCAGTCTCGGGGACACCTCCAGCCCCACCCTGGCTAGATCACATCTCTGGACTCTGTTTTTTCCTTTGGACTTAACTTTGGAATTATACCCCGCTGTGTTTATTTTGATTCCTCGTCCTATAATAATCTCAATTATACACATTTACCATTCACCATTGTCTTCTTAGCACCTGACACCAAATAAGCAATGAATATCTATAAATGAATGTTAAAGTTAAGTCAAAGAGCTTGGGAACTGGTTCCAAGAAAATTTTCCACAATATTCTATGATTACTTCCGTTGACTTAACTAACATAAAGCCTCACTCTCAGTAGCAAAAACAACTTTCCTTCATTACCCCAGATCCCTTTTGTCCATTGAAAACCACCTCCTTCTGTTCCCTCCAGCAGAGTATCAGCTGAACAAAGCTAAAACCAGAGATCTCTAGGTGGCTTTCCCTCCCTTTGTCAGCGGTATTAAGGACACGGGTTTATTTTAACCCGGATGCCTCGGAGAGGGTGCACAGTGATGTCAAGATTAAAATACTGCAGCAATACGCTGGAGTTTAAAGTTCCACTCTTTTCTCTTTTCTGTTTCCATTCTCAG